GGTGACCTCCCCTCCTGCCTCTGTGAGAACATAAATGCCAACATAAAAGACACCTGATAGAGAACCAAAGAGTATCCACCCCCACTTTTTCCTTTTCTTCCCCATTAGTCAGAGATGCCAATCCTTCTATCTGAAGTCATTTTCTCCCAACTGAGCCCTGAATTGCTTCACCTATAGCTTCATGAGGAACATCTTTCACTATTTTTCTCACCCCAGTCTCCTCTCCTCATCCTTTCTCTGTCTTCTGTAGCCCATTTGTCCATTAACCTGATGCCTTCTCTCTGTCCTTTCTTTAGCAGCCAAATATAATTTTTATTATTCTTTAAAATTATTTTACAGTCATCTTTTCTATTATTGTTATAAAGATAGAAATAAAATATAATAATATTACCTATTATCTATGTTGTATATCAAAACAGCTTAGTTTGCAAATAACACATAAGAACATCAAGTTCCAAATTAATACTTTCTCTTCCTAAGCATTTCCCAAACACATAACCCAGAGATGATCACTACAAAATTTGTGTGTGTGTGTGTGTGCACATAAATGTGTGCATGCATGTTTAAAATTCTCACACAAATGGGATCATATGATACATGCTGTTCTGCCACAAACTTTTTTCATTTTGTGCATCTTAGATATCTTTCCACACCAATACATGCAAACATGCATCATCCTTTTTGGTTGTTGTTTTTCATTTTAGTGACTTTTTTTGTTCTTTTTATATATGCATGACAGTAGAGTGTATTTTGACATTCTATACATACACAGAGTTCAACTTACTCTAACTAGGATTTGAATGGCCTTTTAATGCTCACTGCTGTATACTCAGTACCTGAAACATAGCAGGTACTCTATGAACATTTATCAAGTGGATGAATGAATGAATCCCACTCTAAGCACATCATATTTAAACCAATGACTGGTTTAAATCGATAGAGGTTAAATCTGATCACTAAATCTTTATTGATTAACATGTGGTTGTTTTCAGTTTGTTGTTATTATAGATAAGCTTAGTTTGAATGGCTCTAGTTAAGGCTGTGCCTTCCCAATTGCATCTCTGGTCCTTATATCCTACTGACTCAGTCACCTCTGTTCCTATATCTATGTTTGCAATAATAGGCTTTGTTTTCTGTGCTAATCAGCCGAGAAACTGCCCTTGATTGATATTCACAAGAAACCTAAAAGATGAAGATACACAGTTGCATAGCTTTTGCTGGAAGTTCTATAGTCCCACTGTGTTAGTCAGTGTGGTTTCCCAATGATTCTGATTCTTCTCCTTTTAGGCACATAGTGGGACTGTTCTTCCCTCTTTCCTTTAAAGTTCTCTTAAAGCATTTTGCTTTTGCCAGTAAAATGTGGATGGCATTTACAAGGGTCACATATCAAGGGTCTTTTGAACTGACATAGGAACATCATATGTCTTCCCCCTGAAGCGGAGTTTCCCTCTGTGTGGGTTCCAGAGCAGAGTCCACCTCTGTGCCCTTCCAGTCCAAGATGGGCATGTAGTGTTAACAAGAAATAAGCCTTTATTTTTAAAATCCCAGAGATTTGCAAATTCTCTGCTGTGATAGTAAAATTAGTATTACTGTTTGGAGGTGAGGTGTCCCCCAAAAGCTCATGTGTGAGACAATGCAAGAAGTTTCAGAGAAGAAATGATTGGTTGTGACAGCCTTAACACAATCAGTGAATTAATCACCTGATGGAATTAACTGAGTGGTAACTGAAGGCAGGTAGGATGTGGCTGGAGGAGGTAGGGCATTGGGGTGTGACTTTGGGGTATATATTTGTATCTGGCAAGTGGAGTCTCTGTCTCTCTGCTTTCTGATCATCATGTGAGCTGCTTCCCTCCACTACATTCTTCCACCATGATGTTCTGCCTCACCTGGAGCCCCGAGGAATGGAGCCTGTTGTCTGTGGATTGGGACTTCTGAAACTGTGAGCCCTCTAATAAACTTTTCTTCCTCTATAATTGTGCTGTTTGGGTCTTTTAGTCACAGGAACAATTAAGCTGACTAAAACACCGAGCTCATTCCAACTAGTACAAGGAAGGACTGCTTTGCATGCTGTGTAGCTACCCAAGGGGTCTGTGGGCTTCCTCATTGATCTCCCCACTTAGGGTTCATATTGAGGACTCAGGGACCCTTCCAGAGGTCGATGCTCCAGATATACACTCTGTGTAAGTGTCGTCCCTGTTAGGTCCCAAGACATTAGTAACTCCATTTTGTTCTGGGACTCAGAACCAAAACTTATAAACTGCCAAGAAAAAGAAACTTAAGATACTCTGTTCCCATAAATGCCCCCTCCCTCCCCGGCAAGGTCCCTATAAACAAAAATCTGTTGTTACCCAGTCACCTGCACCCAAGGTCAATTCTAGCCTTCTGCACCCAAGATGTTCCTTGTTAAAAAAGACATAAGGGCTGGGGTTGTGGCTCAGTGGTAGAGCACTTGCCTTGCACGTGTGAGGCCCTGGGTTCACTCCTCAGCACCACATACAAATAAATAAATAAAATAAAGGTTTAAAAAAGTTATCCTTTAAAAAGAAAGATATAAAACCTCTATTCAAGTGACTCTGCCTGCTGAGCCTGGCAGAAGAGCAGCCTCACAGACACTCTCTATCTTCTTTGCTTGAACTCAGAGATGTGTCTCTCATGGATATTTGCGCCAGCTACCCTAACCTTCTCCATCCTCTCTGATCAACTTTTCTTGATAAAAACTTTCTTTATCCTTTCCTACTTTCCTCAAAAAATTATTTATTACCCTAACAAATCTGTTACACGTTTCTCACTCAAAGAAATTGAAGGAAGACATAAATAAAAGTTAATTTGAGACATAACCCTCATTGTTGCAACTCTGAAAACACATTCTCCCAGAGTGCTGCAGGTCAAGCCTCTGAAATCCCTCGTGTTTCCTAGCTTCCTTGCTTTGTCTGATTCATTGCTGGAAAGATCCTCACTCTGGCTTCCAAAGCCCATCCCAGTCATATCCCAGAGTCTCCTTGGTATCACAGGGTCTATGGCAATATGAGGGGAACAAGCCTCTGTCACACTTCCTTACCATCCTCATTCACATACTGATGGAGGATCACCCACATCTGATTGCCACCTCCTGGAAAGACTGCATGGTGTGAGGACCTGCCTCTCCCTCTCCCTTCAAGGGCTTGTCTACCACAAAGACCACACTTGCTCCCACCTCAATGAAACAATAAAAAGTGAATTATTCCGTGCAACAAAGCCTCCATCAGTTCTTGGTAAGGTGAATCTATCTCACATAAATGAGTATGGCATGCCACAGCAATCCTTTCTGTGACTCAGTCTAACAAACTACGAGCAAATTAATTAGAAGGGTGTTTTGATTGACTTAGTTGCAAAAGAATCTCCAAATTTAGTACTCTGAAACAACTATTTATTCAAACAAAGATTTTTTGGGCTGGGCATGGTGGTGCCTCCCAGTGCCTCGGGAGGCTGAGGCAGGAAGATCATGAATTCAAAGCCAGCCTCAGCAAAAACCAAGGTACTGAGCAATTCAGTGAGATCCTGCTTCTAAATAAAATACAAAATAGGGCTGAGGATGTGGCTCAGTGGTCGAGTGCCCCTGAGTTCAATCCCCAGTACCCCCCAAAACAAAACAAAACAAAAAATGAAGATTCTTCTGGGCAAGCTGTGGTATGGCACAAGCTCAACTGGTCTCAGACTGGCTCACATGCTCAGGGTAAGTTTGTGAATTGTCTGGGGACTGCCTAGTCTGATGGTCTCACTCGTGTGTCTGACAGTTGGATGGCTATTAGCTGGGGCAAAGCAGGGCCATGTAACTTTCACCACCTCTAAGGATAGACCAGGTTTAGTAACTTGAGGATGAATACCAAGTTCCATAAAGTGGATAAAGTGGTTCAAATTCAAGAAATGAAGAAAGACTCTCCTTCTAAGGAGAGAAATTATTAAGGATATGGATACAAGGAAGCATCTGTGGCCATATTTTACCATTGGTTTCCAATGGAAGAAGATAACTAAACCCAAAATAAGCAGAAAAAATTAAATAGATCAAAGAAAAAAAATCAATGAAACAGCTAAGATAAAAACAATAGAGCAAATCAAACTAAAAGCTCATTTTTTTTGAGAAGATCAACAAGATTGACAAACTGATAGCCAGACTGATCAGGAAGAGAAAATAGAGAGAAGACGTGAATTATCAATATAAGGAAAGCAACAAGTAACTTCCCAACAGATTCTCCAGATATTAAAAAGAATGGTAAAATATGAAAATGGTAAAAATTAGTGAGGCAAAAATACTCTATAGCTTTATGAGTATAGAGAGAAAAACACTCTTCAGCACAGAGAAGTAAATTGATACTGCGGCTCCTTCTGGGGATATAAATCCAAAGAAGGCCTCGCATAGTTTTGTAAAGAGGCACAAAGACATTCATCACAGAGTCATTTGTGGAAAAGGGGAGCTGGAGGCCACCTAGATGGTGATCACAAGGGGAATGAGTAAACAAAATATGAGGAACACATATTTTGGCCTTTTATGTGGCACTTGGGAGTAAGAAACGTAATGAGGGATGTGCATATTTAAGGACATTTACCAAATACATTGGAGTGGGTGGGAGGGCAGAGAGAGGGGGATGGGAATAATAATCAAGAGATAAAGGAAGATAAGGGAGAGAGGTATTCATAAACTAAGGAATGTGATTTACTAACTCTGCACCTGGTGTCTGGAAAGAGAGGATCACAGGAACATTGTCAGGGAATGCGTTGCCCTTCACAACCACAGGGATATATTAAAATGGAAAAGAAACTCAACTAACTTTAGGAAGTGGACTTGTGCAGGGCACACATATTATGTGACATAGATATCCAAATGACAGTGAGGACAAACTAAACTTTATAGGAGATTATTTAATTTAGCTGGCCTGCCACATCCAGAAATGTAAAAACTCAAGCAGAGTGATTGTGATATAAATCATCAATAATTCCACATTCCAGGATCACTGTACATTCAGCAAGTTTTACCCACATTATTTATTGCAATAAGTGACGAAGCTTAAGTGGAGTTGATAAGCTGAGGTTTTCTTTTGAGCACTGTACAGAAAAGCAAATCCTCTATCTTCTCAGGAAAAGAGATATAGTGTATTATTTAAATGATTTTCTCCTTGTCTCTCTCTCGCTCCAGTTTTTCAATCTCCAAATACAGTTTATGTAACTCCAGGGCCACTTTGGAGTCCCTGGGGTTTGGGAGACACTCTAAGAGGTTTTTGCCTGCCAGCACTATGTCACGATCTTCAGGGGCTTCCTGAAAAAGAAAACCAGAACAGTGAATTTGCAAGGTTTCCCCTTCCTTGGAAAGGCCTGTGCTTCTTTTAGGATGATAGGGGGTAGGCTGCAAGGTGAGTTCCAAGATGAGTGTGTAGGAAACTCCAGGAAAAATACTTTGGAACCTAGTAAATATTTCTCAGAGAGCTCAGTCCTTAGGTAATCATTACCATCAACTCAAGCAGAGAGGTAGTTGGAGCTCATGGTAATTCCAAAAATGTCTGAAAGCACACCTGGCATGCTAGTTCCGCTGACCAAACAGAAATGGAGCAAAAGCATGGCAGAAGTTAGACAAAAATGCTTCCTGGGGCCAAGGAAGAATATTATTAACCAAGGTCCTTGGTTATTACCACTCTCCTGTCCACCTGGGCTGGCCTGCTGAAAAACAAGTGCAATCAACTTGCTACCAATACAGACACATCACCATGCTTCAAAGTGGAAAGATTCTGTCCTATAAACACCACATATACTAACCCAGACAACTGAGACCATCCCTTAGGACACATTACTCCTCCTATTTTATAAACCATCTCACTTGGAATTTGTTATAAGGTGTCACATGACATAAAGTTCATTGAAGGAGTATCATTCACCCTTTCACACTTAGGCACAGCCGGGCTCCAAGATCTGTTTTCTGAGCAAGAGATATGCGGGGCGCCATTCATCTTGTAGCCAGGGTCACACTGGATGGTGACAGCTTCAGGGCTGATATACTGATCCTTCTCCACAGATAGCTTCCCACTGGGTATCTTCGGTTTTAGGCACAGAGCTGTAATCAAAACACATTAACTTTGCACCTCGTTTCTCTTAGAGAATACACATTTGGACACTGAAAATCAATTAAAGGAGTCTTCCAACTCTGTTGCCATGGCCACCACCACCAGCTCTGCCAAGATTGTTACTAGCTAGCATTTACTGAGCACTTGCTACATGTCAACTATGTGCCAAGCACTTCAGGTGCATCTTTCATGTAACCTTCAGCCACCCTGTGAGAGAGAGACTATGAGGGTGCTCGTTATAGAGAGAACGGAGGTGTGGAGAAGCTAATTGCCTTGTCCCAAGTCATACAGAGCACTTGTAAGTAGCACAGCCTGAGTGAACCCAGGAGACCTAATTCCAGGTTTTGGACTCTCTGTGATGCAGGACTTCTCTTCTTGCCTTGGTTCTCTCCTGTATATAATGAAAGCAGTGACAGCAACTTAGGTCGTAGAGTTGTTGAGAGTGAAATGATGGGACCAGGTATGGTGGTGCTCGCCTGTAATCCTAGCAGATTGGGAGGATGAGGCAGGAGGATCATGAGTTCAAAGGTAAATTATTGCCTCAGCAATTTAGCGAGGCACTTAGGAACTCAGAGAGACCCTGTCTTTAAATAAAATATTAAAGAGGGCTGGGGATGTGGCTCAGTGGTTAAGCACCCCTGGGTTCAATCCTCAGTACCAAAAAAAAAAAAAAAAATTAGTGAAATAACCTTATGGACATTTTGCTTATTCTTCCAAAATAGCCTGGTGACCGAAAGGGAGGCCACTGTCTCCTGAAAGGTTCTGAACTGACTAAGAACACACGAGTGTTATTTCCTGGATGTTTGAAATAGAACCATGACCAAGTGTGAACTCACAGTGACTCTGGCCGGCAGGACCTGTTCTCTCTGAGTCACTTCTGAACCACTCTGCAGGCTCTACCTGCTTCACAGTGCTCTGCTGGGAGTTTGATTACCTTTACATCGAGGAGCTGGAGGCGACCATCCTGAAAACCGGCAGGAAATTTCAGCTGCTCCTATAAGAGCATATCCTTCCTTGCATTCATACTGCACCACGGTGCTGAGCGATAGGACCCCACTGATATACCTATAATGCCCATGTGCAATCCTAGGAGGGGGACTGCAGCCTTGGGTAGGAGACAGAGGGAGAGAGAAAATTTTCTGACTCATTATTAAGGTACGTTAGCCAGCTTTTCACTCCAATAATACCTAAGATAATTAATTCATAAAGGTAAATTATTGCTGGGCGTGGTGATGCACCCCTGTAATCCCAGCGACTCCTGGAGGCTGAGGCAGGAGGATCACAAGTTCAAAGCCTGCCTCAGCAACTTAGTGAGACTGTCTCTAAATAAAATATAAAAAAGGCCTGGGAGCCCCGCGCAGTGGTACGCACCTGTAATCCCAACGGCTAGGGAGGCTGAGACAGTAGGATCACGAGTTCAAAGCCAGCCTCAGCAAAAGAGAGGCACTAAGCAACTCAGTGAGACTCTGTCTCTAAATAAAGTACAGACTAGGGCTGGGGCTGGGACTCAGTGGTTAAGCGCCCTGGGGTTCAATACCCGGTACCAAAAAAAAAAAAAAGTGTCCAAGTGTGAATTTAGGCTAACAGTTTCAGAGGTTCCGCTCATCAGGTGGACTCATTGCTTTTAGGTCTATAGCGAGGCAGCACATCCGGGAGGAAGTACTGTGGTGTGGCCGAGCAAAACCTCTCAACTCAACGCCAGGAAAGTGTAAGAAGGCGAGGCAGAGGCCAAGGCGGAGGCTGGGGCCCCACAACCCCTTTCAGGGCACACCCCGCGGACTGCAAGACCTCCTGCCAGGCCCCGCCTCTTGGACATCCACTGCTTCTCAATAGCACCACCTAGAGGACCAAGCCGTTAACGCAGGGACCTATTGGATAGTCAAGATCCAAGCTGGAGTCTAAGGGGATTTGTTGGTAGACTTTCACCCCGCCTAATTAATTTCTTTGCTTATGAAATAACATAGCATAATTTAAAATGGAGATGTCACTTCTCATATCGTCAAGCGGCTGAGAATTAAGGATAGTGGGCATGTATGTGTATATTGGGGGGAAGGGGAAATTGACTACTTTCCCAGTATAGAGCTCTTCTATTTTCAATAATTTTTAAATATTTAACAAAATGTGTGTGTAAGCACAAGGCCATGCAAGGCGATGTTTTAAGCATCTAACCAATATAAATTCATGTAATTTCCCCCAAACAACCCCATTAAGTAAGCATCATTACTATCCCCGTCTCACGAACAAGAAAACAAGCACAGAGAAGTGAAGCAGCTTTCCCAAGGTCACACAGGGAGAAGCAGTGTAGTTTGCCCCACACGGGGTCCATGCCCTTCACAACATGACTCTGCTAAGAGTCTGTGCTACCTGTGGACAATGAAGGACCTTTAGATATAAAGCAACAGAAGCATCTTTTTCAAGAAACATTTGCGATTAGACATTGGTCTTTATTAACACTTGTAAGGGCTACAAACCCAGAATCCCCAAGCACCTTCCCATCCATCAACTCCAAGACTATTCCGTGTTTCTGCATTTTTTTTTAAAGAAGAGAATCACAGGGAAAAAAATTACTTTCAACACTTTAACAATAAAAATGACTCACTAAACTGCAACAATAAAACCTTATATTTATATAACGTCTTATGATATACAGAGAACTTTTATACATGTACCTGACAAATTCAGATTCCAGTTAATTTCCTTAGAATTTGTGACAACAATAATTATTTCACTTTTGCTTTACAGATGGCAAAAACTAAAAACCAATTAGAAAACATGTAAAGCAAGGGATGATTAACTCATTTTTAAAACAAAGGAATTTGAAGCACTTTTGTATTTATATTTATATGGAACAAAATGAAGTTCTTGCAATTTATTCTTACCTGTTTATTAGGCTATATTCCCAGGAACGTATACAAACTAAGTTTTTTCTTTTCTTTTTTTTTCTGTTGTAATGGGAATAACACATACCCTAAAGTATCAGAAGCTTTGAAAAAATATTTTGTAGTTAAACCTTTCCATTATTAAGATGGAAATTAGTAAATGATTTATTATACCATTAATAGTTAATTTATTGTTAAAGTATTGGCATCAATATAATTATTTGTTTTATCTCTCATACATTGATGTCAGTGACTACAATTTGACTGGGTCTTTAATTCCAATATGGAATGAAGAGGCTACCACATTTGCATTGATTGTTCTTGTCCCTCATGCTTTTCTGGGACCCCAGCAACCATCTCACTCACCGTGTAGGCTGGACGGGCAAAGGAGCAAGATCAGAGCCCCCAGGAAGCACGGAGACAGGGAACAGCTCCCTGGCAAGAGCCTCATGGTCTGTGTTCCTTCCAACCAACAGAAGCTCAAAAGAGGTTGCAGATTCTGCCTGAAGTGTCTGGAGGAAAGAGCAAATTAGCAGTAGCACCTGCCAAGTTGGAGGCCAGCTGCAAAATAGTCAGCAGCAGCTAACCCGCGGGGGAAACTGGTCAAGAGTGAGCTCTGAATTAGGAGGAAGCTTAGGGGAAGAGAGCAGAATTGGGTTTCCTCAGATCAGTGGAGTCAAAGGCCCCTGGAAACCTCAGTTCTAGCATCCAGGTTCTGATAGTGGAGCAAGGAACATGGTGGAGCTCTGGGGTAATTTAGAATGTGACCCTCTCTTTTCACTGCAAGAGTGGGATTTCAAAGAGATATAAGTCATTCGTTTCCTGAGTGACAAATAAAGAGACTGGGGGGGGGGGGGGGCGCTTTGGTTTAAAGTGAGTGGTCTCAGCCACCCTCAAGCAAACCTGGAGGAAAATAAAGCGAAGTCTGAGGTTCCCTTAGAATCTGGACACTGCAGTGGGAGAGAAAGGCACATCTGCCAAGGACTGCCTAATCAGGAACGAGTTGTGACTTTTAAAAGGATGACATTAAAAACCAAAATCAAAGATGGTGGGAAAAAAAGGGAAATTTTTTCTCGGAGAAGTTCTGGAGCGTCGTGGGGAATGAGAAATATGAACAAAATTAAAAATACAGACAGGACTAACAAAACCGCTCAGATGGTCCTGAATGGGACATTGCTTTTTGTTACCATGATTCACCACGTTGTCTAATGGAGCACAGGTTGGTCCCATTTCCATAGATTAAAAGAGGAAACAGTGACACCTGACGCCATGAAATGCATTCAAAAGCACACATGGGAATGGCTGGTATTGGCCACCATGCAGGGAGGAAGAGTCCCCAAGACTGTAAGATTCACCTGGTGGTTCAGTCAGCCAAAGGGTACATCCAGGCTGGTGTGGTCTCTGACAGCGAAAGCAGTGAAAGATATTTCAGAGCATAATTGTTACCTTCCATGGGAAGTGATACTGAAAGATATGCTGATGCTTACTAAAAGAAGATGAGTTTGGAAAAATGCCTGCAAATGACCTTCTCTCCCAGTTCAGCTCTGCAAAGACAGTTACAGGAGTTCAAAATGCACTTACCAGAAATAACTGGGTAGGTCGTGATGCAATGTTAATTATGACATGGTTACATTGCAACATTCCCTGAGAGAAGCAGAGCAAATAAATTTCATTGTGAATTAACTTTATTTTTTTTTTATTTATTTATTTTTTTTATTGTTGGCTGTTCAAAACATTACATAGTTCTTGATATATCATATTTCACAATTTGATTCAAGTGGGTTATGAGCTCCCATTTTTACCCCATATACAGATTGCAGAATCACATCAGTTACACATCCATTGATTTACATATTGCCATACTAGTGTCTGTTGTATTCTGCTGCCTTTCCTATCCTCTACTATCACCCCTCCCCTCCCCTCCCCTCCCCTCTTCTCTCTCTGCCCCCTCTACTGACATTCGTTTGTCCCCCTTGTATTATTTTTCCCCTTCCCCTCACTTCCTCTTGTATGTACTTTTGTATAACTCTGAGGGTCTCCTTCCGTTTCCATGCATTTTCCCTTCTCTCTCCCTTTCCCTCCCACCTCTCATCCCTGTTTAATGTTAATCTTCTTCTCATGCTCTTCGACCCTACTCTGTTCTTAGTTACTCTCCTTATATCAAAGAAGACATTTGGCATTTGTTTTTTAGGGATTGGCTAGCTTCACTTAGCATAATCTGCTCTAATGCCATCCATTTCCCTGTAAATTCTATGATTTTGTCATTTTTTAATGCAGAGTAATACTCCGTTGTGTATAAATGCCACATTTTTTTTATCCATTCATCCATTGAAGGGCATCTAGGTTGGTTCCACAGTCTAGCTATTGTGAATTGTGCTGCTATGAACATCGATGTAGCAGTGTCCCTGTAGCATGCTCTTTTTAGGTCTTTAGGGAATAGACCGAGAAGGGGAATAGCTGGGTCAAATGGTGGCTCCATTCCCAGCTTTCCAAGAAATCTCCATACTGCTTTCCAAATTGGCTGCACCAATCTGCAGTCCCACCAGCAATGTACAAGTGTACCCTTTTCCCCACATCCTCGCCAGCACTTGTTGTTGTTTGACTTCATAATGGCTGCCAATCTTACTGGAGTGAGATGGTATCTTAGGGTGGTTTTGATTTGCATTTCTCTGACAGCTAGAGATGTTGAGCATTTTTTCATGTACTTGTTGATTGACTGTATGTCCTCCTCTGAGAAGTGTCTGTTCAGGTCCTTGGCCCATTTGTTGATTGGGTTGTTTGTTTTCTTATTGTCTAATTTTTTGAGTTCTTTGTATACTCTGGATATTAGGGCTCTATCTGAAGTGTGAGGAGTAAAGATTTGTTCCCAGGGTGTAGGCTCCCTATTTACCTCTCTTATTGTTTCTTTTGCTGAGAAAAAACTTTTTAGTTTGAGTAAGTCCCATTTGTTGATTCTAGTTATTAACTTTTGTGCTATGGGTGTCCTATTGAGGAATTTGGAGCCCGACCCCACAGTATGTAGATCGTAGCCAACTTTTTCTTCTATCAGACGGCGTGTCTCTGATTTGATATCAAGCTCCTTGATCCATTTTGAGTTAACTTTTGTGCATGGCGAGAGAAAGGGATTCAGTTTCATTTTGTTGCATATGGATTTCCAGTTTTCCCAGCACCATTTGTTGAAGATGTTATCCTTCCTCCATTGCATGCTTTTAGCCCCTTTATCAAATATAATATAGTTGTAGTTTTGTGGATTGGTTTCTGTGTCCTCTATTCTGTACCATTGGTCCACCCACCTGTTTTGGTACCAGTACCATGCTGTTTTTGTTACTATTGCTCTGTAGTATAGTTTGAAGTCTGGTATTGCTATACCGCCTGATTCACACTTCCTGCTTAGCATTGTTTTTGCTATTCTGGGTCTTTTATTTTTCCATATGAATTTCATGATTGTTTTCTCTATTTCTACAAGAAATGCCGTTGGGATTTTGATTGGCATTGCATTAAACCTATAGAGAACTTTTGGTAATATCGCCATTTTGATGATGTTAGTTCTGCCTATCCATGAACAGGGTATATTTTTCCATCTTCTAAGATCTTCTTCTATTTCTCTCTTTAGGGTTCTGTAGTTTTCATTGTATAAGTTTTTCACCTCTTTTGTTAGGTTGATTCCCAAGTATTTTATTTTTTTGAGGATATTGTGAAATGAATAATTCTTCTGGATACCTTTTCAAAGATGTACAGATGTTTATTGAACATCTGTACATCTTTGAAGAAGTTTGGTGGTGTCTTTAAATAAACAGAATGATTATTTTAAGTGAATAATTATTTTAAGTGAATAATTTATAACTTCTTTATGAATAATGTTTACTTTGTCATTATAAATAAAAAAATATTTGCCTGCTTTAAGGTCATGAAACTATTCTGACAGGCAGAAAGGAAAGTCAGGTTGGTCATAAAACTCGAAGCACTAATATCTTCATCCTACATGGTAGACATAAGTTTTAGAAACTCAAGATATGAAAATAAAGCAGATAGGTCAACAGGGAAGAGATCCCAGAATTATTCTCAGCAGGTATTAAGCAGCTCCAAAGAAAATATCTGTAAAGATATGTCCCAATTAAAAATAAAACAAATATACAATAGTTAAAACTGCTTGATGACCAATCATGCTACAGTTCACTAGTAGAGACACCTCGCTCATACACACAGATTCAATCAGTATTTTAGTATTCCACTTCTTTTTTTTATTACTTACACATGACAGTACAATGATCTTGATAATTCATACATTTGAGTCAAATGGGGTATAATTTCTCATTTTTCTGATTGTACAGGTTGCAGAATCATATTGGTCATACAGTCACCTATATACATACAGCAATAATAATGTCTATTTTATTCTACTCCCCTCCCTATCCCCCCTTACCCCCACCTCCCCTCCCTACTTCTTAACACCAGCAGCAAGCTTGGAATGCCTTAACTAATACCCCTCAGGTGTTGTTCTCAGGAACATGGAAAATGACATTGTATCCATGAAGAAAAAACAGAATACCATTTTTAAAAAACATGTAGAGAACAAGCATGAGTCATTAGAAATTTAAATGATAGAATAAAATTTAAACTTCAATGAAAGTCTTTGAATACATGGTCAAGGAAGTCTCCCAAACAGTAGAACAGAAAAAAAGGAGAGAGAAGTAAGGTTGGACTCAGTATTTTACTAAAAGGAGTTCCAGGGAGAAACGCATACACGTGTTAAGGCGCTGTTCCCAAATTTCCAAATAATTCTCCAGGTCCTCTGAAGGTAAAGACAACAGCTTTATTTCTGGCCAGGGCCGAGTGTGCAGAGAACCAAGCAGTTCTGCAACCCTCAATCCCGATTGGGGGGCAGGAACATGTTATAAGGCCTAAAACCACAAGGCAGGGTTGCGGGGTGCAGGAGAAGCAATCATAATCATAAGGTACATCTTATACAAATAGAAAGTTACAAAAAAGAGTCATATAGTCATATTTTCAGAAAAACATCTTGCCCACAGAGCAAGGATATTATGCTCAGGGTACAAATAGGTGGGGGTGGAGGTGTTAGTTTCTATGCAAGTGGGCTCATGAGGAAGGGGGGGCAATTTCACACAGGGTGAGGTGTCTGAACAAAATGAGGTACATCTGGGCTAATTTTCAAGTCAGCCCATCACACACACACACACACACACACACACACACACATAAAACAAACAAAATAGAAAAAGAAAGTAACAGGAAAAAAAAATACAAGATCTTCCATTCTCTGAAGTACATGGGTTTCCCAAAAAAAGTCGTCAGTGCGGCAGATCAATGCATGAGAAACATCCTAAGGCAAGGTCACAGGGATAAAGATACTGAAACTCCAGCAAGAGAGATCCACAACACTGCATTCAGGGCCAGAATATCACACCACATTGTGAGATGTGCCTTCAAATGCTGAGAGAACCAGACTCCGCACCCAAAGCATCTATTAATTTGGAAGGAAGAGAAAAACATTAAGACATGTTAAAGACTCAAAGGTTATTAGGGACCATC